AACTCACAACCTCATGCTTGCCAGGCAAGCACTGTGCCGTTGAGCTAAATCCCCAGCCCCAAGGTCACACTTTTTAAAGAGGGACTGCAATAGCTACATTTACACATCCATAAAAGGCACTGTTAATTACGGTTTTCCATCTGTATGTTTAGGAAGACCACAGAGAGCCATTTCAAGGATGTGAAGGGCACTGACATCAAATACACGGCCCTATATCCACACATGCACACAGCCAAGCTTGGAAACCAATTAATACCTATGGAATAAAATACTCAAGAGAAATTGTGGACCATTTTTAAAAAATAAATTTACTTCACAAAGCTAATCAGATAAGAAAATTATCCTTGAGAGCAGAACCTAGTGGCACACACCTGTAATCCCAGCACCTGGGAGGATCCTTGTGAGTCTGAGGCCAGCCTGGGCTACACAATGAGTTCAAGGTCAGTCTGAACTACACAAGGAGAAAGTCTCAAAAAAAAAAAAAAAAAGAAAGAAAAGAAAAGAAAAGAAAAGCAGTCTGTGCTTGATTATATGTTCACAGTAAATCCACGCCGATCCCATCCCAGACATCTTCCTCTGCATACCTATTTGCCAGGCTCATCCTACACAATGGCCACACCTCTGATTCGTATCAGTGCACTGGGGACTCATTAACTCTTCTTTAAAGTCCCGAAAACAGAATGTTAGAAAAGAACCCATGACTTCATGCGTTGCTGCCCTGCTGTGGGAAATATGCAGAGCTTGCCCTGAGCTCTGTGTTAGTGTCAGTCTGCACAGGGGCGATGCGCTGTGCCAGGCTGAGAACTTCCTGCCGCGCCCACAGCAGCGCTGCTTCTCAGCCTCTTTCTGCAGTGCGGCTCCAGCCTGTCAGAGGCGACCCTGAGCACAGGGAGGAGACCCGCGGCGTCCCTCTTCCAGGAAGTGGACATCCGGCCAAGAAGCATGTGGGGGCGGCGATCTGAAGGAGGAAGTCTCTGACCGAGGTCCTACTCACCGAGGCCTCTGGAGATACCCCAGCGCCCCTCCTGCCCGGATTCTAGGAGCTGTTCTAATGTTCTCCCAAAACGCTCTCACTTCCTGAGTTTGTTTGTTTCTCCGGGTACTGGGTATTAAACCAAGGACCTTTCTCATTGAGCTGGCTACATTTATTTTCAGACAGTTGCTAAACTGCCTGGGCTGGATTCAAATGTGTCCCTCCTGCCTCATCCTCCCAGGGTGCTAGATTATAGGCGTGCACCATGACAACAGGATAAGAAAACTTAACATACTGAAATATGCATGTTCAATATATTATTTCAGCTGGGTGTGGTGGCGCACACCTGTAATCCCAGCACTTGAGAGGCTGAGGCAGGAGGAGCACTGCAAGTTCAAGAACAGCCTGGGCTACAAAGTGAGCTCAAGGCC